GTCCGGCCGCCCTGTGGACATGAGGTGGAGGGCGCCACACCCCACGCCGCAAGGCGGTCGACCGTTTGCAGTGCCTGCCATTCTCTCAACTAAGTGAAGTCACGAACTTCAGCAGGTATAGGGTGGTGGTTTTCATGAACCAGCGTAGACTTTTTGCGGAGTTTCTTGCCGTCCCAAATGATACCATGGTACAAATATTATTCGGTCGATGCCCCAGGGGGGGGGGGGAAGAAGACTTTCGTGATTGCGCTCACCCAGAAAGTTAAGTAACGAAACCGGTGGCTCGTTGTAAAAAAAATTATGTGATAGTTATTTAGTTCTTGACTTTTGCATTAAAGTAGCACTTTGATGAAAACACATTTCCTTTAGTTTGCCTTACTCAAGAGCACCGTGCTTGGTCGATAGCAGGTCAGCGCGCTTCGTGAAAGACTTTGTTAATTCTTTTAAATACGTGACGAGATTCGCGTAAAGGTTTACTAATACACGGTAGTAAGATGCTGCGGTTATGCTTTTCTTGTTGCCAATCTTCCGAAAAAATACTGATTTTTTTGCAGCCTTCACATCACTTTCATTTAAAACTTGCATAGGAAATTGGCAGATCCCCCCCGTACAGTGGTAATCGATGATATGCGAAGCACGAATGAGGAAGGTTTATATGTCCCTCTATTATCAGCACAATGTTACGAGGTGGAGATAAATTATGCCGCAGTTCACTTACGTGTCTGGATTATTATGTTTGGATGTGTCGTTTACCTTCATTATCTATTCAGGTCACATGATACCGAATTTGTTATATGTGAAGCTCGCAAAACGGCCACGAGCACACAATGAGCATGGTATGTTGTCATGTTCCTAAATGACACGCTTGTCAGCATTTTCTTGTTTGCACGTACCATTCATATGCTTTTGTTGTCTACTGACGCCACGTAACACCAAACTCGGTATATGTCGTGTTATCAAAATGGCCGGGAGCGCACCATGAAGGTCCCAATACACTCCGAAGTAGTATTGACGCGCGTGAACGCTGGGCACAGCGACGCCGCGTTAGCAAAACGCGAACACTCTATACTCTGATGCCAGGCACGACCAGCGCGACCAGCGTCCATTGGCTGGCCCGACGTCAACCAGGGCGAAATGTGGCATGCTCGCGCCGATGCGTTACCCAGACAACACTGCGTGTTTCTCTTTTCATGATGGAGGGATGCCGGACGCGCTGAAACGTGCATGCGTCAAAGCAACGCAGTGCGTCGCACACCTGCGAGTACATGGCAAGATCGGCACCTGGCGTGGCAACGCCGCTTGACGCGACGAAATGATTGCGCACAAGCACGCGCACCGCGTCACGTCAAAATGTATTAGTGCCTTGGCTGTGGTATGTAGTCATGTTCTAACATGACACGCATCTCATGATTGTCATGTTTACCCTAGTCACATACGTTCGTCATCAGTTCACGTCACAGAATACAAAATTTGGCATATGTGAAGCTAGCGAAAAGGCCAAGCGCATCTTGTGCGTAGCATGTAGTGATGTTGTTACATGACACGCATCTCGTGTTTACCATGTTTGCACCAGTATCATACCTTCGTCATCTATTCACGTCCCTGTGATACCAAACTTGGTATAAGTGAAACTAGCGAAACGGTCGCCAGCGCATCATGAGCATGGCATGTGGTCATGTTGTTACAGGACATGCATCTCATGATTATCGTGTTTGCACCAATATCATACCTTCGTCATCTATTCACGTTCTGTAATACTAAATTTGGTATATGTGACGCCAGAAAAACGGCCACGTGTGCATCATGAGCGTGGCATGTAGTCATGTTGTTACATTACACGCATGTAATTTTCATGTTAGGGTCTGTCGCTTGTGTTCGCCATGCAATCATGCCATACCATATCAGTTTTGCAACAGGCCATGTGAACGAAACCACCGCAAGAGCTGCAGTACCATGAAATGTAAGTCATGATATTCATGACATACATGTTGCTATTTTCATGTTATATGACTAGTCAAATATGTTCTTCATACAGTCATGTTGTGCCATACCAAGTTTGGTATTGATACTGTTATCGAAACGACCAGGAGAGCTAAATGTCGTAAGCAGATAGATAGATAGATAGATAGATAGATAGATAGATAGATAGATAGATAGATAGATAGATAGATAGATAGATAGATAGATAGATAGATAGAATCAAAGTCGCCGAAGTTCGCCAAGAAATGCTTCGCATTATAAAATTGTGCACTCTCTCACAGCGGCTCTGACGAAGAGCATAAGATAGTGTAGAGTTTCAGTGCCAGGACTCCCAAGACGCTCGCATTATTATTTTTTTTTTGCGTGTGGGTGGCGAATGGCAAAACGGCAGGAGTTTTGAAAAGCGCACAAGATGTTAGGGACACAATGGCCAGGGGTCCCCGGTGCTAAATGTTTCCAGCATATTATAAACACGAGCTTATTGAAAGCAGTTGCGTGCTGGAAAAGGTGCTTTTTTCACATTTATTTAGTAAACCTCTATTCGCGAAGTCCATGATAGACATAATGTAGCGCTAAACACTCGGGACGAAAGAAGAGAGAAGCACAGCGCTGAACTTGCCACTGGGTCTTAATTATTATAATGCCAATCTACTAGCTCGTCCAATCTGCCTGTCTTCTTCATTAAGAGTTGTTGATTGTGCCTATAGATGTAGAATCGCCATTACCATCACGTACCCAAGTTAGCTACCCTCCCCCAAATAAAAGATAGTGATCTCCACTTGATTGTTACTTAACACAATGTAATTAAAATGCAGACAAATACAGTAAAAGCTCGTTAATTCGGATTTCACTGAACCGGAAAAACTGTCCGAATTAACTGAATGCCGAATTAACGAATGAACAGGGAAAACAACTTTTAAAATGAAGCTGCGGAAGCATACCTTTATTTGTTGAAGTATTTTGTAAATGTCGTCTGCGTTTTCGCACAGATTCCGGCTGACATCACAATTTTTCTCAACTGTTCCAAATGGCCAACAGCACGCAAGCTGTCGGGAGTGTTCAGGCAAACGTCCTCTAATATTAAAAGTGCCTCCTAGACTTCCCGTGAGGTGCGATGAGGTCGCGGCTGTGTCTCCTCGCAAGATTCTTTGTCGGAATCGTGGTCTTCATGGGCGCCCATGACATCATTAATAATCTCTTGATCGGTCAGGAGACCACTCGTGGCGACACCATGATCAATCGCGATGTAGTCCTGAAAGGTCACATCTGTGGGAAGGACAGCATCGAAAGTCGGGCAGTCATCGTCGGTGGACTCCGCTGACACCTCGTCGATGCTATCGTCAGCTACTGCTGCATGCTCGGGCCTCACAAACCGCTGTGCCGAAAATAGTTCGCGATGATTTGCGGCGGAGTGTTTTTCCACACGTGGGCGATGTTGTGCACTGCGCCGAGTAATTCCACTTGATACAACTTTCCAGCTTCTGAGCATAGGATCATTCGCTCTAGCAGGTGCTTGCGGTACTTCGACTTCACGTAGTGAATGACACCCTGGTCCATCGGCTGAAGAGCAGACGTAGTGTTGGGCGGCAAAAAACTACTTTGATGCTCTTCAGTTCGACTGTACAGTTATGGGCACTGCAGTTGTCAACAACCATAATTATCTTGCGGTCCTTCGACGTGAAGTGCCGGTCCAACTGCTCCAGCCAGCCGCGAAAAATGTCCGATGTCATCCATGCCTTCCGGTTCGCTGTGTACTCGACAGGAAGGCTTTTGACGTTCTTAAAACAACGTGGCTTAAGCGCCTTCCCGACGACAAGTAGTGGCAAGCACTCCGTGCCAGTCATATTGGCGGCAAGAAGCACAGTTATCCTTTGCTTGCACTTCTTGCCACCAATGCACGCGTCCCCTTTGAAAGTCACCGTCTTGACGGGCAGAGCTTTGAAAAATAGAGCAGTTTCATCTGCATTGAACACGTAACGTGGTTCATATGCGGCGATGTGCACCAGCAGCTTCCCATTTCTCCACTCGGTGGTCATGCTTTCGTCAACACTGGCCATTTCGCCGCACACACTCCTGAAGACAAGTTCGTGTGGCTCTCGAAATTTCGCAAACCACCCTTCTGACGCTTTGAACGATTCAATGTTCATCATTTCAGCGTACTTCTCACCTCGCGCCATGATGAGAGGTCCGCTCAAAGGCAGATGCGCGTTGCGACAGTCAGTAATCCACCGGAGCAAAGCTTCTTCGAGCTGGGAATGAGCTGCGGTTCGCAACCGCTTTCTAGAGGCATGAAACTCCTCGCATTCGAAGGCTTGTCGAATCTGTTGTTCATTTTCACGCTTCACGTTGTACTTGGTCATAACCTGCTGTCGCGATTCGCTGTTCTTCAGTGCTTCCGAAATTTCCACTTTAGTCGCCAAGTTCTTCGCGTCGTAGTTCGGCCGCTTTTTCGGCGTTGCCATCACTGCAGCGCACGTGGGGGTTCTCGTGAGCGGCGTACGCGAAAGCGACCGGGTGTCTGATATGCGGCGGGCTTCGGCCTCGTCAAGCGTGTCCACGGGTCTGCTCCAGGGGAATCCACGGTAGTCGTCTGCAGCCTCATCCGCTTGATGCGTTAGGGGCTGGTTGTCGGACGGTGCCGTTTTACCACTATATCGAGGTGTGTTCCGTGTCATCCTAGGGCGATTCAGTTGCGAAAGCGCCGAAGACGCGGGCGTGACCCGTCGTCTGGGGGCTTTGCCGTCTCGGCTCTGTTGCTAGTTCCGGCCGGTCCACCGACAGTGCCGCGGGCTTGGGCAACCCGCACGGCGCGACCGAGTCGATGCAACAAAAAGCGAGCAGGAACGTGCTTCTTGCCGCACGGCTCCCACTCGTCCTTCGGGAAGGTTGTGCCGTAGCGAGCTCGAACGCCGTCATCTCGGAGTGCGAATAAGCGTGTTGGGGCGCCTGAATGTGGCCCCCGCCGCACACAGACTGCGTCCGGCCCGCCGAAGGTGAGGAAAGACGCGCAGTCGAACGATTACCTGGTTGATCCTGCCAGTAGTCATATGCTTGTCTGAAAGATTAAGCCATGCATGTCTAAGTACATGCCGAAATAAGGCGAAACCGCGAATGGCTCATTAAATCAGTTATGGTTCCTTATATCGTTTCTTCCTACTTTGATAACTGTGGCAATTCTAGAGCTAATACATGCAGTGAGCCTGGAGCCCTTTGGGTAACGGGTGCTTTTATTAGACCAAGATCGATCGGGTTTCGGCCCGTATTGTGTGGTGACTCTGGATAACTTTGTGCTCATCGCATGGCCACGAGCCGGCGACGTTTCTTTCAAGTGTCTGCCTTATCAACTTTCGATGGTAGGTTACTTGCTTACCATGGTTGTTACGGGTAACGGACAATCAGGGTTCGATTCCGGAGAGGGAGCCTGAGAAACGGCTACCACATCCAAGGAAGGCAGCAGGCGCGCAAATTACCCACTCCCGGCACGGGGAGGTAGTGACGAAAAATAACAATACGGGACTCTTTTGAGGCCCCGTAATTGAAATGAGTACACTCTAAACCCTTTAACGAGGATCAAGTGGAGGGCAAGTCTGGTGCCAGCAGCCGCGGTAATTCCAGCTCCAATAGCGTATACTAAAGCTGCTGCGGTTAAAAAGCTCGTAGTTAGATCTCAGTTCCAGACGATTAGTGCATCTACCCGATGCGACGGCTCGGACTGAACATCATGCCGGTTCTTTCTTGGTGCACTTCATTGTGTGCCTCGAGATGGCCGGTGCTTTTACTTTGAAAAAATTAGAGTGGTCAACGCAGGCGAGTCGCCTGAATAAACTTGCATAGAATAATAGAACAAGACCTCGTTTCTGTTCTGTGGGTTTTTGGAATGCGAGGTAATGATTAAGAGAGACGGACGGGGGCATTCGTATTGTGGCGCTAGAAATGAAATTCTTGGACCGTCGCAAGACGAACTACCACGAAAGCATTTGCCAAGAATGTTTTCATTGATCAAGAACGCAAGTCAGAGGTTCGAAGGCGATCAGATACCGCCCTAGTTCTGACCATAAACGATGCCAACCAGCGATCCGCCTGAGTTACTCAAATGACTCGGCGGGCAGCTTCCGGGAAACCAAAGTATTTGGGTTCCGGAGGAAGTATGGTTGCAAAGCTGAAACTTAAAGGAATCGACGGAAGGGCACCACCAGGAGTGGAGCCTGCGGCTTAATTTGGCTTAACACGGGAAAACTTACCCAGCCCGGACACTGGGAGGAGTGACAGATTGAGAGCTCTTTTTTGATTCGGTGGATGGTGGTGCATGGCCGTTCTTAGTTGTTGGAGTGATTTGTCTGGTTAATTGCGATAACGAACTAGACTCTAGCCTATTAAATAGGTGCGGGGTTCCCAGTACCTTACAACCTTCTAAGAGGGACAAGCGGCTCCTAGCCGCACGAAACAGAGCAATAACAGGTCTGTGATGCCCTTAGATGTCCGGGGCCGCACGCGCGCTACACTGAAGGAAGCAGCGTGTCTTTATCCCTGTCTGAAAAGACTGGGTAACCCGTGGAACTTCTTTCATGATTGGGATAGGGGCTTGCAATTGTTCCCCTTGAACGAGGAATTCCCAGTAAGCGCGAGTCATAAGCTCGCGTTGATTACGTCTCTGCTCTTTGTACACACCGCCCGTCGCTACTACCGATTGAATGATTTAGTGAGGTCTTCGGACCGATGTTCGGCGCGGCGTTTCGGTTGCGCCGGTCTGTTGGAAAGATGACCAAACTTGATCATTTAGAGGAACTAAAAGTCGTAACAAGGTTTCCGTAGGTGAACCTGCGGAAGGATCATTACCGGATAGTGAAGGGTGAGCGCCTCAGAAGCGTCTGCGCCCGACCCTTTCTGCCGTTGGTGAGCCTTTCGGCAGAAAGGCTCACCTTTCTCATTAGGTGAGCCTTTCTGCCGTTGACCCCGTTTAGACGCGGGGTCGGCTTTTCCCCACGGGGCTGCCTGAATGTGGAGCGGCACCCCGTGACAAATTGTTGCGCCCAGCGGACGGCAACACCACGACCTTGGACGGTCGGCCAGGTGGCGGACGCTGGTACAAACGGCGCAACGCACTCATAGGTCGGCTTTCGACCCGCCACTGCACCATGGCTCGAAGCGCTCGAAATGCGCGACCCGACCGTTGCGGGACCGCCTAGTACTTTAAAAAGAAGCGGCGGAGCGCGAACGGCGAGTCGTGGTTACGTCGGTAGAAGGCGAAGCTGCGCGTTTCCGAAATGCCAGCCGAGTGCCCTCCCGACCGTTTGAGCGTGCAAAAACAAGACCCACAATCACGCGGCGACTGCCAAGTACGAGAGGAACGGCACAAGCGTCGGCGGTCGGTCAAGGAACTGGCGATGTGACGGGTCCGCTGTGCACTGCAGCACACGATGGTGGTGGCATCCAAATACGGTCACAATGGAAGAAAAACAGAACTCCGCAAGAAGAGATGGTTCCGACACGACAACACAAGGAAAAATGGCGTCGGAGGCACTGAGTGGCGAAGAAAGAAGACGCCGACGTTCGGTGACGCGGCGATCGCCCCCACTAGTGGATGATGATGGCGATGTCACTCAGGTTTCGGTTTTACTCCAGTGGTGCCAGCGCTGCTTTATCACACTTTTGTGTAGCAGCAGCCGTCAACATTTGTCCGAATTAAGCGGTGCGGGGCCGAATTCCGACGGAATAACGAAGGTTTGGTCCCATAGATTAACATGCACTTTGGCCGGGACCAATAGAGCCGTCCAAATTATCCGAATTTCCGTATTAACTGGTGTCGAATCAACGAGCTTTTACTGTACAACGCTGTTTGGAACATGATAATCACCGTTATTTCTGCTTGAGGTGAACTTATTGAACATCGATTTGAACTTGAACCTCATGCAAGTTTTCCCTGCTCTTACGGCTCGACTTGTAAATACTCATGTCTCAGTTATCCTTTATGCTTGCGTTCCATGTTTTATTTTATAATCTTTTAACGTGTATGAAGTCTTATCTAGAATTCATTAGGTGAGCCCGAGACCGGAACGCTTTCGCAAATTCAAGGCTGAAAAAGCACGAATTCGTTGAAATATTGATAACGCATTCGGGGGAAACAAAATGATTTCAGCCGTTTTTACGTGCATTGTGAAACTGCCTTTTAAGCTCCCTGCAAAAAAAAAGAAAAGAAAAATAGAGACAGCGTATAGGCGCACTGAAAGATAACTGATTATTTCTTTATGATTCACATAAAAATGGCTGAAATACCTAAACATCCAATACGAATGTTATTAGAATGAAGAATACGGGGAACCAATGGATGCCTGGTTATGGTCTCATGATTTGTTCGTTTTCTTCTTGTGATAGTATTAGTTCTTTTTACGTCTTTCAAGTATTTTCCACGCCTTCGGGGAAAAGATCAATACATGAAACATGAGGTCATTCTAGCTCGAGCTAGCAGTGGTGCACTCGATTTCGCTCTTTGAAGAGGAATAAAAATTAAGATCCTTTTTTAGATATTTCAAAAAGCCTATATTCTTATGGGGACTCGGTTGTCACTTCCTTTCTATCCCTGCAATTTCCACGCGATAGCGTTAAAGAACTCATTTTGCAGAAATTCTAGGATCGGTGTTGTGTGTGTCAGCGAGGGCGTCGTTGGTTGTCAGCGAAGAATGATCTTGTAAGTGACCGCGAAATAAAAATAAACATAAAATAAATAGAAAAGTTCCCAGGTCCACTTGACGATCGAAGCCAGGCTGTTTGCGTCGAAATCTGGAGTGCTACCTCACAGCCATGTGTTTCCTTGGAAATACAGCTATAATACCTTCCTCTGCACAGAAGTACAGAGAAAATATCAATCAAGCTTTACAAGCGCACCCGTCTTGTACACAGACTTCAAATGCGATATCGCAGTAATATCACGTGGTAAAAGCGTACATTGCCTCCGCGCGTGAGAACATCTGATTGTCTTAATTCATTCGTCGTTACTCAGGGTGCTTGAGATCTGCCAAGCACATACCCGCCCATGGTGATGTGCCACACGTCTGGCGGAAAGTTTCGAGGACCTACGCGATGGGATTGAGACATTATTCATCTCATCACTAATGAGTCATATTCGTCAAAGTACCTTACTCACCCATATTGTCCTTGGTTTACCCCAAACTAAACTAAGAGGGGGATGATGGGAGCACCCAGATAGATCGATAGATAGATAGATAGATAGATAGATAGATAGAAAGATAGATAGATAGATAGATAGATAGATAGATAGATAGATAGATAGATAGATAGATAGATAGATAGATAGATAGATAGATAGATAGATAGATAGATAGATAGGAGTGCCCGCAGTAGGAATGCTTAGCATTTAGGCGCTATTTTTCTGTTACTACCTATTGATATCATACTTTTCTACTAATTAAGCGAAATGGCCAGAACATTCGTAAGAAATCACAAAGAGAAGCAAAAGAGCAGGATTTGTCACTTCGTGTTTTCTCAGGTGCGTTTACTTTAAGAACATAATTCACGCATTTTTCGAAAGTAAGAACAAAAAAACATTCAGCCCACTAGAACATTGTACCGAATTACCGCAAATGTTACCTTCTCTAGAGGTGTGCGTTCGGTATATTTAGAAGATGATTGTACCCTCCTTGCAGTGATATGAGTCGCGACTCTCAAAAAGAAACTGAGCGAAAATTTTTAGAGAAACAGAGAGAGAAGTTGTATATGTGGCAAGTGAGATCACCTCTACCTTCTAATGAAGAGGTACAGGTACCCTTCTTTGTTTCCTTAATATGCACGTACAAGTAAGAAACTTCGATTTTTGTTTTCGGCCAGAATAAAGATCATGTTGTGCATACTCAGATAGCTTTGGTAGTGGATATTTATACCTGAAGTACTGTAGATGAACAGAACGGACACGTACATTGCCTTATTCGCAGGTCATATTCGCAGATGATACTCAGTTGTGGAAAACACTTAAACCATCCCTAATAGCCTGCCCCGCCATGGTGGTCTATTGGCTAAGGTACACGGCTGCTGACCCGCAGGTCGTGGGATTGAATGCCGGCTATGGCAGCTTCATTTTCGGTGGAAGCGGAAGTGTTGTAGGCCCGTGGACTCAGATTCGGGTGCACCTTAAAGAACGCCAGGTGGTCGAAATTTCTGGAGCCCTCCACTACGGCGTCTCTAATAAGCATAAGGTAGTATTGGGACCTTAAACCCCACATATCAATCAATCGTCTCTATTAGCCATCTTGTCTGAGAACGTATGTCAAGACATGCTGTGCCTGCACCTGATGGTAGCGTCACTAAATGGCGTCGCGTGTCTTGGAGAAAGTCAATGGAAAAAGTGCGACAGAGGAGCTTGGCTGTAGCGGAAGCCTCTCAATGGCGTGTTTCTGCGCGGGCTAAAGGGACTTTACTCCATTGCTTCAAAAAGTTTAACTTTGCATGACAATCGTATTGAGGCCAATATGCAGAAAGATGGATACTTACAACTGCAACTTCCAGTGATCGGAAGCAGGTACAGGCAAATGTGCCGTTTTGTTCATAATGTTTTCACATTTACCCGGCAAAATACGCGGACAAAGGCACCGAAATTAGTTTTTTTTTCCAGGTCATTTACACAATCGCTGATTGTGAGCCATTTGGTCCGTCCTGTGAGACCTAATTTTATGTTTTGCTCTCACCGTTTACGTCTCTGACGTGGTTCTTTAACCAGAGGTGCCGTGACAAGCAACTTGTCCCCTCAAGCATCTTCAATGAGGAAACAGAACCATTGTGACTACACATAAACCACGTTCTGCCTCCCAGACAGACTGAAAATTAGATAAGTTCTCCCTTTCCTATTTCCACATCTTCTTAGTTTCTTTTCGTGACGTCTGGTGGAAAACGCGAGAAATGAAATTCATTTAGACAATGCCAGCCCCGTTATGTGAGTCAATTTGCATAAGTGTTCAGCGACGTCCAGAGAGCTCCGCGCGGGCATAGAATAACGTGACGAAAAAAAATTATTTTTCGCTCCAGGCTGATAGTGGTCTTATTTTTGCCTGTTTCAAAGAAAAAACAAAGACCGAACAGAAAAGCTCTCGCTTTAGCTAGCAGCGTTTTCCCCAAACTTTTGTGAAGCTCTCGTCCACCGCCACCTTCAGAACTCCGTACAAAGATTTTTTTTTCCACTCCGCGCTCGTCTTTCAGACCCAAGTACCTGAGTTAGGCCTTGTTTTATAAAGAGAGTCTTTAGCTCTAAGTGCCGCGTGTGGCGAGCACTGGATTTTTCCTTATTCTTCATGTAGTGCAGTGGCGTGGCCATAAAGACTGTGGTTTTGAAAGTTGAATACTCCGCCCTGCCGACATAATGCGTGGGAGATTTAGTTAGCACGGAGAGAACCTGAAGACTGAAGACGAAGGGCCCTTTAGAGTTTCTTTTTCATTTTTTTAATTGTCACTGCAGCACGGAAGTAGTGTTGTATACCTTCACGTGCTGCAGCGCCGAGACGTTGGAAACCAAGAGTGGTACGTCGCAAAAAAGTAAATTAGATCTAGATTGAGACGTGTGGTGTGAATGCTGTTTACAGAAGCGCTGTTTTTTTTTCAAGGAAGCCTTAATGGAGTTCCTACGTTTCACGGCTATAATGCATGTTGACGCCGTTTCGTACGTATTAGTGCGTAAAAACAGGCACTTTTGATAATTGGTGCCGTGATAATCGTAGTTGTAGAAGAAGCACCAGTATAGTAGCAGGCTTTCCAATATTGAAATTACGCCATTGCTATGGTTTTTTGAAACTATGAGTTCTGGTGTGAATTACTTCAAGCGAGTAACTTCAAG